CAGTGTGATCCCTGGTAGCACATACCAACTAGACTCCGCATAGAGTGATGCACAAAGTCCATTCTCTGTCTTGTTTAGAGTTGTCTTCATTTTCACAATAAACCTAGTATCTGCATGTGATCGTAGATTTTTTTTTAATTATTTAATGTGTTATTTCCACGCTCAAATATCACGCAAATAAAAGAAAGTCCAATGAAGAGATAGGTACTCCAACAAATGAAACTTAATTATCAACCATCTAATGACATTGTTGTATCATTAGAGGCTAATAAGTAATAATTAAATATCTAATGACATTGTTGTATGACTATGGATTGTTATACCATTATATCTAGGGCAATGTCTATTTTTTACCCAAACCTTTTTCAGATTCTTTTATTTTAACCAAACCTATTGAATTCCTAAAAATTATCCAAACGTTAACTCTCCGTCAACTTTTCTGTTAGTAATGCTGACTAAGTATGACCATAATGAGTTGACTTCCTACGTGGCGGTCAGAATACCATCATTTACTATTTTTAATAAAAAGATTATAAAAAAAACAAAACAAAATCCCACCCTCACGTCGACGAAATAAGTAACGGTAACAGAATGAATGCCCAAACTTTGATAAATTATAATACGTTTGGATAATAAATAGAATTTCTATAGGTTTGGTTAAAATAAAAGAATCTGAAAAAGGTTTGGGTAAAAAATAGACATTGCCCTTATATCTAATCCAATCAACCATTTGACTTTATTTCTCCTTTCATTTCCCTCTCTATCTTTATGATAATGAACAACTATTTGACTTTGATATGACAACAACATCTCAGAATTCAGAACGACCACACAATACTCTATCCAACCAAATACCTTCAAATTTGGTGTATTATTAGCTGTAGGTTATGATAAGGATGACGACTCTTTTGCTGCTATAGAACTGAACCTAGTTTTCAACCGCCATATTATGCTAATAAAGAATAATTTGCCTCTCTACTCCAGTACTCCCACCCTTTCCAAAACAGAAACGAAGATGGGGAAGTTTAACCTTCCAGAAGGCTAGCTAACTTAGCTCAGATAAGCTTTTTTAATATTCGATGTCTTCGAGATTCGAGTACGCGAAATCCTCCAGATTACCAAACTTTCTAATACCATGTCAATTAGGTTTCATTGGATTGGACCTGCAGGCACTAGAGGATAACTTAAACTAGTGGGGAAGTGTGTAATTAGAATAACAATTATGCAAAAGGAGGGTTTCAGGAATCAACAGATTTTGATTGTGTGCACTTTTGTGGAGATTCCTCTTGAGATGCAAGATTCCTCGCTCTTACCAGAAGATCCACTCACATCAAACCCCCTTCTTCTACCTCCCATTATGCATCTATGTGCTTTGTATGCTGAATTATGAAGTTAAAGCCGATCATATTGGAACTTATCCTTTGCATCTCATATATATCATACCATCATCTAGTACCAACCAAATCATGGATCCATCCATCGATCTCCGGAATTACAAATACATATGCACGAAAAATTGCGAGATCGATTCAAATACGAAAAATGACAAATTTTACAAAACTTCCAGCCTCGACTGATAAATGTATCGATAAAGAATAAACATAATCGCGACCCGATATTGTCGGATTATACAACGCGTTGACAATCTATAGATCATATCATCAGACGATATACATGAAAATATTGTTTTTGTAATTCACACTGACGATTACCCCTATCAACGCGCGCTGACAAAATCCGATAATTTTGTATACTTTTTTCTTCTTCTTTTGGTTAAGAGGATAAAATTTGTGTCTAGTGTATGATGTGCTTTATTTCTTGTGAAGCAAGAGAGGAAGGTGAGTCATGGATCATGGAACAAGGTTTCCCACCTCTCTGACTCAGCCATGACTACTCAGATTATTATTTTTTTAATATTAAAATCATGATGCATGCATCCACCATCATGATGAAGAAGATGATCATCCCATCATGGTCATCATACCATTATGGGAAACCAAATCATGTCACCAAACACAAATGTGAGTTGCCAATATGGTCACCAAATTTTGGAGCCATTGGAAATTGGTCATCCATTTTTGTTTTGTTTAAAATAGTACAAAAATTTGAACTAATTAACATTCTAGTCACTATATCTATCCTTGTCGAATTGTCTCTCTCAAATGGCTGGTCATGATGTCAACTTAATCAAATTAAATTGACGGCGAAAGTAATAACTTAAGACCCTATTTTATCACATGGACATCCACTTTTTCTTTTATAAAGATGATTATTATTGGTCCTGACATTTTAAATATATGATGTGTGAATATTATCATTTCCATATATACCACAAGACTAATCACTTGGGGTTATACGAACGTCTGTTTAGCTCGTGTTTATCCATTCCATATATACCGTAGGATTTCTAAGAAAATTGATTTTACTCTAATACCAGTACGTACCTTTAGGGCTGGGCATGCGGGCGGATCATCCACGGGTTTGGGCCGACCCATCAGCATTTGACCCAAATTTCGTTAAGTGGGTGGGTTTGTGGGTGGGTGACGGGTTGCGCTAGGAGCCATCCGCCGGGTGGTGGGTGGGTTGTGGGTGAGTGTGCGGGTGACCCGCTCAACCCAACAGCAAAAAAATCAAAGCCGTTGGCGCTAGAGAGAGGAGAGTGGAGACGTTAGATATAAACTCGGACTGCTCCTGGAGTTTGAACCTCAAAGCCAACCTTCCAAATAGAGATCCCCTCTTCTTCCCTTTTCTTTTTCCTCTAATTCTTGTGCCTAGATCAACGCTCTTTCCTTTGTGGAATTATTTTCCTTAGTTCCTTGCATCTAATAATCGTCTCAATCTGTAGAAAACTCTTTCATAATAGAATTTCTATCCAATTTAAGAACTAATTCGACATTTTTCGCCCTATTTCAACTTCTGGTTTCCCTCGATGATTCTCTTCACCTATTATCATTTCAAGTTGACTCCTTTATATTATATAAATTGTGATGTGGGTGAACCCACAAACCCACCCGCATCATCCACCATCCGCCCGACCCAACCCGAGACTAAATGTGGGTGGGTGGTGGGTTAAAAATTATCAATCCGTTTAAGCGCGGGTGGGTGCATTTTATGGTCAAAATCCACCCGACCCACCCAATGTCCACTAGGGCTGGCTATTTGGACCGGGACCGGATGAAAAACCGGAAACCGGACCGTATAACCCGGACCGAGACCGGACCGGGACCGGATAGTAAACAATCCAATCCAATCTTTGGGCTTAGATTTGAGGTAAAAAACCGGATAAAGACCGGATAAGAGAGCTCAACACCCAAAACTTAAGGGTAATTTGCATAAACGGTCACAAACCTTTACACTTAGTACAAAACTTAACCAACTCCTCACCCTTTTAGGCCTTAGGCCACTCAAATTTCCACAATCTCAATATAAAATCAAGACCGAATTGGGACCGGACCGGGTCAAGACCGGACCGGATCAAGACCGGACTGTATCCAATCCAATCTTTGGTCCTTATATTTTAAAAAAAACCGGACTGGACCGGATCAATTTGGGCCAATTTAACCGGACCGGACCATATAGCCACCCCTAATGTCCACCCCTACGTACCTTATATAATCAAGTGTATAAAATATGAAACGGGTAGCTCACATCCGACTTTCCCAATAGAAAAAAAAGTTTAAAGTCCAAGAAATACTGAGCTTTCTCTTCTATCTTCCACACATACAAATTGAGTCCTAGTCAATATAAAAATAAATGGAGTCCTAGCTAGCTAGTTTCTCAAACGTGCAGTTTCGGCGCCCGGCCCGCCCGCCCGCCATGGCTCCAGCCTCCAAGTCTTGTTGGTTTTCCAAGTCCAGAATGAATATTCAACGGTCTCTTTCTCTCCCATGTGTGCAGCCGCTTTGTTGAACGTCATCAGAAGAAGAAGAAAGGAAATTAGGAAATTAAACGAAGACTTTCGAAACCCTTAGACGTCCAAATTCATCCAAATAGCAACAAAATTCTACCCTCGTGATTTTGTTCGTGTTCCCTTTTTTTCCGGTTCGAATGATGCAATGAATCTTGCCTCATCACTTTTGGCACACTGTTGGTGACTTAGTTGCCTTTTACCGGCCGTCCCTTTTCCCTGTTACAGCGACGAGCCGCCGCCGCCGCCGGAGTTAGATAGTGAGTTTAATGTTGTATATTATCAAGAATTCACGGCCAGGAAACCTTTAGAGGACCAGGCCGTCATACAAGGCCTGGGCTTTACTATACCCCAGTGGGCCTGGAGTCCAATTATTCTGGAGACGCTCACGAGGGGCCCAATAGTCCTCGGAAGAATATCCATAGCTAGCGCCATCTCATCTCACAAACTAGATGGGACAAAGCCCATATTATATTAGGTGTCATAAAGTGGGGTTGGGATTTTGGCCCAGGTAGGTGTCATAAAATACAATATCCTCTTCATAATTGTCACCCAAGTACAGATTTTGTTCTCTCTTGTTCTGAACTTAGGTCACGTACAATTGTTGTTATCGAGCCATTGTGAGTCTTTTGGCACTCATGTTTTGAAATGGTCCATGTGTAATTAGAACCATACACCAAAAAGCTCGAGTTATCGCGGGAGCAGTATTCCAGCAACGATTTAGATTGAGTAAGTCATCTAATAGGTCTCTATCCACTAAACCAATGCTCCGAAGGGACATTTGTTGGTATGGTCCCTGCCCACGATATATAATAGATATTACTCTATTAGCGTTAGGCAATATTAATAAGATCGCGGCATTACAAATAATGTCTACGATGAGAACATAATAGAATACGAGTCGACACCGTAATTAATTATTAAACACTTTCATTATTTAGTACGTTAATACGACCACGAGTATTGTGTCTCTAGACACGAAACTATACATTTATAGACAACAATCAACGAGCTGTAATCAAAAGACAATTACTGTTAAATGTAGTTGATATTGGAAGCACGATGTAGCTAATAAGTTACTACTCTTAAGTCTTTAACCATCAACGAAGGTGGCAATGGCAGCCTTAAGGCCAGCAACTTGCTTCCTTTCGGCAGCAAGCAGATTGCTCGTCTTCTCCATTTCCTTCTCCTTCTCTTCCACCGACTTCCTCAGCAACAACTCGATCTCCTCCCCTCTCTTCACCTTTTCCTTAGCCAGCTCCATTTCCTTCTCGTGCATCGCCGATTGCATCTTCACCACTCTCTCCACCTCCTTCTCCTTCTCTTCCACGAACCGATTCAACAGAGACTCGGCCTCCCCGCTCTTCTTCACCATCTCTTTCGTGCACTCCAGCTCCTTCCTGCACACCGCCAGCTCCACTTTCACGTCCTTCTCCTTCTCCGCCGCGACCATGATCCCTCGAACGTCCACCACGGTCGCTCCATTGTACATGTCGCACCTGTAAGAGATTAAAACGCTTAACAAACCCTTTTCCCAACAACTCGAGTTATTGGGACCAAGTGGTTATAAGTTCGTTGACATTAGGGGTGACTGACTATTTGGTTCGGGTTTACCTGAAACCAGACTGTATAACCTGGACCGAGATAGGATAGCAAACAATCTAATCCCATTTTCGGACTTAGATTTGAGGTAAAAAACCGTTTGGAGCCGGACCAAAAACCGGATAAAAGAGGGCAACACCCAAAACCTAACCAACTCCTCACCCTTATAGGCCTCAGGCCACTCAAATCCCCACAAGTTCAATATAAAATCAAGACCGAATTAGGACCGGACTGTATCCAATTCCGTCTTTGATCCTCATATTACCAAAAAGATCGTACCGGGATCGAATCAATTCAGACCAGTTTAACCGGACCGGACCATATAGCCACCCTTATAGCTACATGGTATGAGAGTCTAAATTCGAAAGGTCATGATTTCGAATACCCTCATTTATTTCCATTTGTTTAGTACAAGGATGATATATCCAACCTGTGCAAATTAAAGCCTCGTGATTTTTAAGAGATTAAAAGACTTAACATACCCCTTCAATAACAACTCGAGTTATTAGAATCAAGTGGTTAGTTCGCTGACAACTACCTGTTCCACATGTCGGCGCTCGTGAGTTCGGGCAGTTTCACGCCGTACTTGGACCAGCCGAAGCAGTCGTGGATCCTGAGCATCGCGAACGACGGCGGATCGTTCACCCTGTCGAGCAGGCAACAGCCTCGACGATTCACCACGAGGCGGAAGGTCTGGCCGTTGTATCCTTTGAGGTTCAAGTCCCACACGAGCTCCGTGAAGAGATTGTCGCTGATGATGACGCCGAACACTTCTAGGGCCTTGAACTTGGTTTGCTGAGAAGGGCCGATTATGACTCCATCGCTGGACCATGGCTGTCCCGGCCGGATGATGGTGGATTCGTTGAGGTCGCCGAGGTACTCGTACACGTAGAGGTTTGGATCGTCTTTCAAGCCGGCGACGAATTGCCTGTCGGAGGTCAAGCTAAATGCTGCCATGTTTTGTTGAGGTTAGTGGAAGGAGGAGGAGGAGGAGGAGGAGGAGGGGGGGGGGGGGGGGGGGAGGAGGAGGAGGGTGTTACGTTGTAAAACATGGCATGCATGTGAAGGGGTTTTATTGTACCATTGATGTGATGGATTCTTTGTGGGATCCATAAGTAAGAATAAGATGGAGATGAAGAAAGTTCGTAGTTTGAAGGTAAGCATAGGCATCTAGTAAATTTGGGTTATTCTAATATATACTTTATGCGGATTCTTGTTGTAGTTAGGGAGGAAATGAATTCCAAGAGAATGTCTATGCCTCTACGGTATGAAATAGGGGTGGCTATACGGTCCGGTCCGGTTAAATTGGCCCAAATTGATCCGGTCCAGTCCGGTTTTTTTTGAAAATATAAGGACCGAAGATTGAATTGGATACAGTCCGGTCTTGATCCGGTCCAGTCTTGACCCGATCCGGTCCCAATTCGGTCTTGATTTTATATTGAGATTGTGGGAATTTGAGTGGCCTAAGGCCTAAAAGGGTGAGGAGTTGGTTAAGTTTTGTACTAAGTGCAAAGGTTTGTGACCGTTTATGCAAATTACCCTTAAGTTTTGGGTGTTGAGCTCTCTTATCCGGTCTTTATCCGGTTTTTTACCTCAAATCTAAGGCCAAAGATTGGATTGGATTGGATTGTTTACTATCCGGTCCCGGTCCGATCTCGGTCCGGGTTATACTGTCCGGTTTCCGGTTTTTCATCCGGTCCCGGTCCAAATAGCCAGCCCTAGTATGAAATTAGGTAAAAGGTAAAGGCTACATAGGGTTTTCAGAAGTAAAGAATTATACAATGAGAATATACGTATCTGATGTAAAGAGCAGTATTCACGTAGTTAAGTTGTTGATGAACTCAACTGAAAGAAGTATGAAATTCGAATTGACTTCCCAACCAGAGTTCCTTATATATGTATGGGGTTGATGGGAAATTTTATTTGCTTGTTGTGGACCTCAATCGAAGTAGGATTTTTTTCCCCTCTCCAAACACACCATAGTTACTAAATCCTCACTATATAGAACTGACACTAATTAAAAAAATTTGCTCGTCGATTTAATTTTAGATTATAAGACTTGAGAAAAACAAAAAATATGTCCACATTGAGCCCACACGTACAATTCTGTCAAATCCTAACGTTACAGTCTTAGAGAGTCTTGAGATTTTTAGTGGTAGTTTTGTTTTTATATGGCTTGGTTAGGGTATGAAACTTGTTAGTTTTGTAGTTTTACAAAATCTTTTATGTATGGATGAGATTGAAAAATAAGAGATTTAATGGCCATTTTGATAGGAGGTTAAGAAGGAAGGTAGAAAATAAGGGAGAAGGCTGACTGGGATATGTGGATTGGGTGAATTATTAAGTTAAAAAATTTGCTTATTTTATTTATTGTAATTAGAAGTAGTCGCACCTTGGTCAAGAGACAATGGCTCAAATTTCAACAATAGACGATCATCAGACGATTCATATTGAACACAGACCCATAATAAATTACAACAAATTTCACATGTTTTCATTGTTTTGCTACAATGAACTTAGTTTGGTGTGCACAAACACAAAACTACATTTATTGACAACATGATATAAATTTAAAATAAAAGAATTACACTACAATTGTAGCGATGGAAGCACAATGTAGATCGATGAGAGAGACGATTACTACTACTCGTAACCATCAATGAAGGCGGCAAGGGTGGCCTTAAGCGCGGCCACTTGCTGCCTTTCCGCAGCAAGCAGATTGTTCAGCAACAACTCAGTCTCTTTTCCTTTCTTCACCGCTTCCTTGGTGAGCTCCAATTCCTTCTCACGCACCGCCGATTCCACCTTCACTCTCTCCACCTCCTTCTCTTTCTCTTCCACCAACTTATTCAACAGAGACTCAGCCTCTCCACTCTTCCTCACCAACTCTTTCGTGCACTCCAGCTCTTTCTTACACATAGCCACCTCCATCCTCCCGTTCTCCACCTCCTTCGCCTCCTCCGCCGCGAGCATGATGCCTCGAACGTCCACCAGAGTCGCGCCGGTGAAGAGGTCGCACTTGTTGCACACGTCTGCGCTGGTGAATTCGGGCACTCTCACGCCGTACCTGCAGAGGCGTAGCCAAAATTTCATCTAAAGTAGGTCGGACATGATGAGAGAAAAAAAAAAATTGAGGTACATTTCAGAACGTGTTTTGTGGCAAGAACCAGTTGATTCCAATAACTCGAGTTGTTGGCAAATGTTCAATCGTGGGATTATATACAATTTATTAACATTTTGATCGTGTTCTAAAACAAGCTGTTGAAATACATTTATCGTGCAAATTATGAGGGATATGTTAAGATACCCCACTGGAAAACTATTCATGATCTCATTACTCATCTTATTTTCGAAATGTTACTTCACATTGTTGAGTGCAGTAAGTGCTCTTTCAAACACTTATAGTCACAACTAGTGGCAACAAACACCCCTATAATAAGTTTATGTTTATATTAAATTCAGTTACCATGAATATGATTATTTTCGATAAAGTTGCTTACATCGATATGGGAAACTTGTATTTAATTCATAGTTTCATAAATAAAAAAAATTTACTACGCTTTTTCTCTAGTCATGGTGGTGCAAAATGACCTATGTTGACCTCAAGTGACTCTGCCACTACGTACCTGGACCAGCCAAAGTAGTCGTTGATCCTCAACCTCACAAGGGACTTGGTGTTCACCCCTCTCAGAAAACACAACCCACGACGGTTCACGAACAGGCGAAAGACTTGGCCGTCGACTCCCTCGACCTTCAAGTCCTTCGCCAGGTCGTTCCAATGGTTTCCTTTGATCGTGACGCCAAACACCTCGAGGGCGCCGAACTCTGCTTGCTTCGAGGGCCCGACTCTGACTACAGTGCTCCAGTCGTTACTGCGACCCTCTCGTCGAGTGATTTCGAAATCGTTTGGGTCGTAGAAATACTGGAACACGTAGCAGTCCGGATCGTCTTTCGTGTAGGATGCCATGATGAAGTAGTTGTCGGACGATAAACTGAACACTGCCATTTTTGGAATGTGTTGATGTTTTGAGCGGAATGAGAGAATGGAAGAGAGGGCTTTATATATAACGGAATGCTCTCATCTTGAGAGTCCCAAGAATTGAAGCAAGGTGAGATTGAAGCTATTGAGTTTCACTCATGTTTTTTTGGTTCAAGGCAAGAATGGGAATGAAGTAAAAGTTGGACATGCAAGAACTCATCTTTGTGGAAAGGAATAAAGTAAGCTTGATGTGTCCAAAACATTTATGTGGTGTAATTGGGAAAAAAAGAAGGTTCTTTTTTATCATCGTAAGAGCTTAACGTTTGAAGTTGTTTATTTTCCAAGAATTGTAAAATTTTACGGAGGGTTGTATGGGTTAAGTCCACGACACGGTATTTTATTCTGAAACCCTAATAAACTATTAATAACAATCATTGACGACGTTGGTCCTTTCATATTTATGAACCCCACACATCCGACTTATTTATTACACAAGAATTCGCAATACCTTGCATATGTGTACAAAGATCTAAAATATAAAATTGTTCAACACACATAAAGAAAAGTCATAGAAAAGAAATCAAAGCAAAAACACCCATTACTTAATTTATATTCTTTTCCTAGATAATCAAATCAAGGACTCCCGAGGATAACCTTGGATAACTTCCGCTAACTTATTCAGTAACAATTCAAACTCTACACGCTTTCCACCATTTTCTTTCCGCAGCACTCCAAATCCTCGTTGTTTCCTTGCTCCTCTTCATCATCACCACTCCCTTTGTGCACTCCAGTTCCCTCTTACACAGCTCCAGCTCCAGCTTCGCGTTCTCGACCTCCTTCTGCTTCTCCTCCAGACTCTTCCTCAGCTCCCGAACCTCAGCCTTCGCTTCCTCGCTCTCGAGCACGATTCCTCGAACATCCACCACAGTTTCTCCACTGTAAATGTCGAATATGACGTTCCACACGTTTGGATAACCGCCGAGACTGCTTTTCGGTAGCTCCACTCCGTACTTGGACCAGCCAAAGCGGTCGTTCAGCCTCAGAAGCCTGACGGAAGGAGCGTTGACCTTGTTGACGAAGCACTGGCCGAGCCGGTTCACGACCAGGCGAAAAGCCTGGCCGTCGAATCCTTCGAGCTTCAGGTCCTTCATCAGCTCCCTCCACTGCGTCGACGTCCCTTGGATCGTGACGCCGAACAACTCTAGCGCTCTGAAATCTGCATGTTCTGACGGCCCCACTCTAACGCCGTCAGTCTCCCACCCATCGCAGGATTGAGTGACTTCCAAGGCATTCGGATCGCCCTTGTACTCGTACACGTAGAGATCTGGATCGTTTTCTGCGTACGATGCTACGATGAACTGGTTGTCGGACGTCAAACTGAACGCTGCCATCAGGAAGAAGAAGAAGAAGACTCACAAGTGTAGAAAGATGATCAACACACAAGGGAAAGTCAACTGCCTGAGTTTCTCCTCTATAAATTGTCGCTTGTTTGAGTTGATGATTCTGAACAAAGCAAATGGAGTGGCTTCTTTTTTTTATAGCGGTTTTGAGCCATCACCATCTCAGCTGACAAAGCAAATGGGAAAACCCATAATAGGTGTCATGAATTGGTTGGGGTTTTGGTGTGAAAATGAACAAAAAGGTGATTGAATAATGTGGTGAAAATTGACCACGAACGGGGATGTGAATTTTTTTAATCAGTACCTAACATGTCACAGTGTAACATATCATTGAAAGATTGCCTGGGAATGGGAAGTGTTTTTTATGTTGTTAAACTTAACTTGTTATCATCTGGTATTCTTTCCTTGCAATTTTCTACCTTAATTTGATGATCAGTGTGTGAAGTTAGTACCTAACCTGTAGTCTTTTTTTATATAAAGTTCCAAGTCAACTAGTGAGACGTGACCTAATAATCATGGTACATGTGTTTTGGTTATGTCACAATGAGAATTACTGATGACATGAAGATGGGGTTATGGCTGTGTCATAAGAATGATGTTTTCATATATGATTACTACAATTATTGGGGGGAAAAATGAAGTGAGTGAAATATTGCTTCTTATATAGAAGTCGACCATGCGAAATATGTTTGTTTGTGATATCATACCAACTGTGATCGTATCGTCTAGTATCAGTTGGATCGATATGATATACATAATATATGAGAAAATTCTCTCTACTGTATCGATTGCTACAATACGATCAACCTGCATGTCTGTAAATTTTTTCTATTTTTTATCGGTATTGATCTAGTAGATGGGTTGAATATAGTATTGTTCCATTATAAAAAAAAATATTATTTTAACTATGATATTTTATTAATATGCTATCTATTAAACTATAGTTTGTATACTACTAAATAGCATTTCGTTGACTTGTACTATGCAATCTTTGAGAAGAACAAGAGCATTGGTAACACTCGAGCATAATAATGTAGTTCATTAGTCTCGCTATTCTTTGATTTTTTAATAATAGCTTTACCTCAAGCGCTTTGTTGCTTAATTAATTATACTTTTTTTTTTGACGAATTAATTAATTATACTTTTTGCAAGCGTTTTGCTTGTAATGTAGTAAAATCATACCAGGTAATTATTTTTTAGAAAAAAAAAAATCAGTGCTATAGTATTTTGTGTTTAAATTGTGGTTCAATAATTTCATACTGTTAAAATCACTTATCGATTTAGCTTCTGCGAGACGATTTTTCCGATCGGACGATGATAAGATTTGCAACTAATTAATAAGAAGGCGGTTGTACGTTTAGATGAATTGGACTAATGCGACTTCCAACACGATGACCAATTAATCGAAACACCAACTCCGCCAAGAGAAAAGATATATGTATACACATTGCTCATAATGTGATAATAATTTAAATAAACCTAGTAAATCAATGCTTGCATAACATCCATGAGCTTACCCAACTGCTTTTCCTTCTCTTGCGATGACTCTCCCACATGGATTCCACTTCTTTGTTTCTCTCCATTAACACAGCCAGCTGCTTATCCTTCTCTTGCACGGATTTCTCCCACATGGCCAACTGCTTATCCTTGTCTTCCACGGATTTCTCCCACAGAGATTCCACTTCCTTGTTCCTCTCCACCAGTTTCCTCATAACAGACACTTCCTTCTCCTTCTCGTCCAGCTCCTTGCTCTTCTCCTTCACCATCTCCTGGTAGATCCAAATGGCAAATTATCGTTTGGTACTTACAACTTTCATAATCTACATTTCGGTACCTAAAACTTTATTACCTGCATCTCCTTCTCCTTGTTCTTCAACAGTTGCACTATATCCACCAACGTGTCCCCGTTGCTCAAGTCACTCTTGTTCCAGATCGTCGACGTGCTGATTGGAGGTTTGACGCCGTACTTGGCCCACCCGAAGTAATCGTTGACCCGCAGCCGCATGACCGACGGGCTGTTGACGTAGAGGAAACAGAGTCCGTTCCTATTAGCCACGAGACAGAACTTCTGGCCGAAGAAGTGAGGGTCAGGTCGTTCCACAGCTGGGTCAATCGGTTACCCTCGATTACGACCCCGTGAACCTCCAGAGCTCTGAATTGTGCGTCACCGGAGGGCCCGATTTTTATCCGGCCGCCGCGCCAGCGGCCGCTGTCCTTGTAGCGGATAAGGTCGGGGTCGTATATGTCGCCGGTGTAGTCGTGCACGTACACGTCGGCGGACGAAGAAGCGGGCCATGTACGGACGAAATAGCCGTCCGATGACATGTGGAAAACAGCCATTTTTTTGCTGTTGTTAATGAGGTGTTGGAGTTACGTTGGAGATCTTGCTTAATTATAAGCCGCCTGCCGATGGAATCACAGTAGCTAGCATTTATACCTTTAGTGGAGTCGAAGCAAAAACAAGTTGTACAAATTCCAAACGTGGAGAACTAATTATTCACTTCTCTTGTTTAGGGGGGAACTAATTAATCACAATATCCATGAATCATGATGTTGTAACTAATAGACTCAATCAAATTACTAATAGACTCAATCAAATTAATAAGACACGAAATTAGGTTGTCCTTATCTATCAGTTCTAGTAGGTTGAATAAAGAATCAACATACTTCAGTAAATCAATCAATGATTCATTGTTTTAAGATAGAAATAGGTTGTGATAAATGCAAACATAAACGTAAAGATCCAATAGCCACCACTCTCTATTGTACAACATTTATTTATTTATTTATTTCAAGAGGTATATGTTTCAACCAAAAATTCAATTTTAAATCCTCCTTATGCAACTCCATTAATTGAACTCCATTCTATTCGCCATGGATTGATATCGGAGTTGAAATCGTCTACTTGCCCAGCTTAAATTCCCAACAATAAAAACCATAGTGTCAAGAGTTTGTCGGAGATTGATTTTCAAATGCAGTTTTGTATTGGGAAGTGAAAGGGATGCAAACTTTTGCACGATGGAGGGAATTTTGGAGGAAGTAAGAAAGAAATAAGAACAAAGATAAAAGCACAAATTTTAAATTTAAATTGAGAAATACAAGGACACAACACGTAGTAACAAAATTAGTTTCTTCCATTTTAGCCAATTACCAAGCAATATAAAAGTAACATACTTTATGTGACTATTGTGCTACTAAAAGTAGAGTAGAACAATATTTGATGGGGGAGTTGAGAGTTGAGACAATATAATGCATGGGTTGCGTTGCGCAAATAATTTTGAAGGTGGGGTTCATAAAGAATACATGCAAATCTCCTAATTAATTATCTGCAGCCTGGAAAGCAAGAATCTGATTGTTCTGCATCATCTCATTCACCTTCTCCTTCTCTTCCACTAACTTGCTCCACAGCAACTCATTCTTCCTGCTCCATTCCAATTCCTTCCTGCAAGCCGCCAATTCCACGCTCTTCTCCTCCGCTTCCTTCTTCCATGCCTTCAATTCCTTCTTGTGTGCCGTCAACTCCACGTCCCTCTCCTCCTTGCTACGATCCAACTCTTCCTTACATTCCTTCAGTTCCGCGCTCTTCGCCTCCAGTTCCTTCTTGCATGCCTCCAGCTCCACGTTCCTCTCCTCCAAGCTCCTCCTAAGCCCATCAGATCCGACGACGATTGCGTCTTGATGAGGCAATTTCACGCCGTATTTGGACCAACCGAATCGATCGTGGATCCTCACATTGTGCGTAGATGAATGACCAAGTCCATGAATTATGCAGTGGCCAAGACGATTGACAAGAACAGATAACCCTCCTTTCGCTAGTGCACTGAGCTCATCACACAACTCTATGAATTTGTAGCCCGCAATCGTGGTGCCGAACACTTCTAGTGCTCTGAATAAGTCGCTTGACGTAGGGCCAACTGATGTCGAAGAGCCCCAGTTATCATCAGACCAGCAATTAGTTGCTCCAAACATATTAAAATCATCCGCATATTCACCCTCGTAAAAGTACACCACAATATCTCCGCCAGCATCTGCAGAGATGAATTCATTGTCGAACATCAAACTGTATACTGACATTCTGATCGCCGTTGGGAGAGTTCGATCTGTAGAAATTTATTTGTTGAGAGATAATATAATGCTGTGAATCATCCATTGATGGCATTGTTCTATATTTATTTATATATACGTACGCATTGGTGACACTTGAATAGCCGATAGATGCATTGAAGAAAGAGATCTTCATGCATCGATCGAATATCTCCACCAATCAAAAGATACGTTACCATTAATTTTTTCCCTTCTGTGCATGGCGTGCTTACCCTTCTTTGGGAGAGCAAGTCGTGATTCCATTTCCAATAGTGAGTGGAGCTAGAAAACTTAAAATGGTCACTGTCAACGAGGAGCCATGCATGCATAAATGTTTCTCCGTAATCCCCATTTTCGTTCTTTTCGAAGTTATCAGCCATCTAATAAACATAATCAGTATTTTTTTTTATTTTATGGTTTCCATTTTCCCAAGGGAACTAACCAATAATTGATCAGCGACCAATGGGCGCAAGTTGTACAAATTCCAAACGTGGAGAACTAATTATTCACTTCTCTTATTTAGGAGAATTCAACCTACTACTACTTTCTATTGCTCGAAACAAAGCTAATTAATGCGTCGTCTATTTTACCTCGTCGACACGAGTCATCGAGCAAACTATTGCAAACAAAGCTAATGGGCCTTTTTGGTATTGGGCTTGGTATTTCTCTGACTATTGTATCCAGACCTCGGTCTGGGTTTGACTAGGTTAAAAAGAAAAAACATGCAAAGGAAAAGAAAACTTGAATATTCCAAGCAACTAGGTAAGATAATGGGATATAGTTCTAGACAGAGATGAGTTCATTTGTGTCAACTTGCTTATCATCACACAATTATTATTACTAGTTAGAATTATTAAGCATCGAGTTTTTTACGATTACAGATGACAAAAACGGGATTACCTTTTTTAATTTTGGGATCACTATTCACATCTCTTTTTTTTTTAAAAAAATTCCCTACAACCGTAATTTGGGATTACCTTTTTAAATTTTTGATTACTGCATCGAGCCTTCGTCCACCAATTCACAACCCTTCTTGAAACATTGTCGGCGAAATCATAATAAGTTATCACTATCTACAATTTACCAATGCCGCTATCGAAGATCCATACCATATTTGCTATATGTTGACGAATTTTGTATCAGTACCAAGTTGCACCCACTTTATTTTTTTTCCCCTCTTTTTCCTTTTGGTTGAGCATGAAAATGCAACCCAAATTTGCTAACTAACCTAATTCAATCCGGTAAAACAGACTTGAACCTGATTTTAGGATTTTTAAATTGATCTTTTTTTCTTTTTTGGTGAGAATGAAAACGGGAAAGAGAGATGCATTATATAAGAAGGAAGGAAAAGACTAGAAACTGAAAGAGGAAAACACTAGAAACTTAAGAGGAAAACACTAAAAATGGAAAAAAGAGTTTCGCTCATTCCACGTCCTTGTGATGTGGCTTGAATGCAAGGAGTTGACTGTTCACCATCTCCACTTCTTTCTCCTTGGCTTCCACTAGCTTGTTAAAAAGCGACTCCATCTTCTTGCTCCACTCCAGTTCCTTCTTGCATGCCGTCAATTCCAAATCCTTCTCCTCCAGTTCTTTCTTGCATGCCACCAGCTCCACGTTCTCCTCCTCCAACTCCTCCTTGCATGCAGCCAGCTCCATGTTCGTCAATCCCTTGCCCTTCTCCTGCATTCATTCACGATAACAATCTCAAGTTGTCTGATAACGTAACGGCAAGAAGGTTTTGTAATATATATATATACCTGCATCTCTTTCTCCTTGTTATTCAACAACTGCCCTATATCTGTCAAGATGATAAGGAAGATGGAGCAGAGGTCCATGAAGACAAGGCAGCTGATGCAGAGCTGGAATGGACACATCGAGCTTCAGCTTGAAGAAGACAGTGAAACGCGTTCAGGCTTGAAGACGATTCGTTGTATGGGAAACGTTTCGAGCCTTCGCCTGAACGCGTCGTCGTTTTAGAGTTAGTGGAGTCTGTTTTATCCTTCCCGTTTTATTACTCACCACGTGTCAAGGTGAATTCATAATTCCGTTTATTTTACCGTTGGCAAACAGTAAATCTTGAACACTGAGTATAAATGGAAGGAACCCTGCAGCTCGTTGTTTTCTGCGGGTTTTCGATTAAGCCTTTGCCCCTCTAGATATTTCTACATGGTATCAGAGCCTCAGATCTGATTCTCGACGATCATGGCTACCGGCTCTCCCAATACGCCTCCTGGCGGCAGTGCTGGCTCCTCCGGCGGCGCATTCCAGTTTGGTAGCTTCAACGAGAATCAGGTTCAGAGTGGCAGAGGTGAGATCCAGTTTGGCAACCCTTTCTACCTCAATCCGAATGAGAATTTGTCTCAATCGCTCGTTGCTGAGGTTTTGGATGGTACTAACTATTCTATGTGGAGTAGATCTATGCGTTTGGCGTTGAAAACCAAGCATAAGCTGGGTTTCATTGATGGGTCTATCCCAGTTCCGCCTGTTGGCAGCGATACATTTCATTTATGGGATGGTTGTAACACCGTTGTTCTTTGTTGGATTGTTAATTCCCTGAAAAAGGAGATAGCTCGAAGTGTGATGAATCATGAGAATGCTCGCATTCTGTGGGAGGAATTGAAGAGACGATTTGGGCAACCTAATGCTTTGCGCATCATTAACCTTGAAGATGACATTCATGCTTGTAAGCAGGGTGATCGCACTATCACTCAGTATTATACTGAGATTAAAGGCTTCTGGGAAGATTATCTACAGTTCACCCCTATTGTTCCCTGTCCATGTGCCCCTAACAACCCCAATCCTTGTCCTGCTGTGGTTGCATTCCAGACTAAGCAAGAAACTGATTATTTGATTCGTTTCTTGAGGGGTCTTAATAAGGAATATGAGATTGTGAAGACCCAGTTGCTTATGATGAAACCCTTACCCACTGTTACCGCTGCTGTTGATGATTTGCTTCTTCATGAACAAAAGCTAAAAGGGGATCAAGCTAAGACCAAGAACAGTCAGTCTGTTGCACTTGCTGTTGGGAACCAAGCTGGCCGGGATCAGTATAAAGGGCGACAAGAGACAGGCTCTGGGAAGTTATTCTGTAGGTATTGCAAACGCACTGACCACACCATCAAAGATTGCTGGAAGTTGAAGAAAAAGGAACAAGAGAAGGAGGGTTTTTCTGGTTCTGTTTCCACAGACAGTGTCACACCTTCTTCTGAAAGTACTGGCAGCATCTCTGATGATGGGAGTAGTCCTTCCAAGGTTGCTCATGCTCTCTCCTCTGATGAGATAGCACGTCTCAAGAGTCTTCTTCAGTTTGGCATGGATGCTGGCCCTTTATCACCTGGTAGCTCACCAAGGATCAATTCTACAGCTTACTCTGTGTCTCAATACTTGCCTGCTTTCCCTAACCATGCTGGTAAGTTTGTTCTCTCCTCACACAGTGCTGTGGATAAATCTGTTTTGAGCACCATTTGGATACTTGACACAGGGGCCTCCGATCACATCACATGCTCTTTAGACCTCTTTACCCATTACACTGTCGTTCACAATTCCTTTGTCTACTTGCCTAATAACCAGAGGGTCTTAGTGAGTCACATAGGATCAGTTCATCTTCCTTCTGGCCTAGTGCTAGATAATGTCCTCCTCGTTCCTAGTTTCACTTTCAACCTCATTTCCATTAGCAAGTTAACCTCAAACTTACCACTGTCTTTGCACTTCCATTCTTCTGTCTGTGAAATCCAGGACCAACTGACCCAGAAGAGCATTGGTTTGGCAAGACAAAGTAGAGGCTTATACCTTCTTGACCTTTCCACCTTATTACCACTCACTCCAGTTTCTTCCCAATTCCAACATCAAGCTGCTTTCACCTACAATCTTCAGCCACAAGACATTCATTTATGGCACTGGCGCCTAGGCCACCCCAGTAGAGATAGACTCAAACTTATCATGAATCAACAGAATGTAACTCACAATGAAACTGTTTCCCATTGTGAGATTTGTCACCTTTCTAAACAGCACAAACTTCCATTTCCTGTTAATGAGATGTCTGCTAGTGAACCTTTCTTTCTTATTCATGTTGATATCTGGGGCCCCTTGTCAGTTAAGTCCTATGAAGGTTACAGTTACTTTTTAACTATTGTGGATGACTGTAGTAGAGCAGTTTGGGTTTACTTGATGCACACAAAGGGTGAAACACGTGAGTTGTTACAAGGATTCTGTCAGTTGGTTAAGCAGCAATTTGGAAAAACAGTTAAAACCATTTGTAGTGATCAAGGAAGTGAGTTTCATATGACTGAGTTCTACAGGGTTCATGGCATTGAACACCAGACCTCTTGTGTTGAAACACCTGAACAAAATGGTCGTGTAGAGCGTAAGCATCAACACATTTTAAATGTGGCTCGTGCTCTGAGGTTTCAATCTGGTGTGCCATTGAAGTTTTGGAGTGCCTGTATACTGCATTCAGTTTACTTAATCAATAGGCTACCCACACCTGTTCTTAAAAACCTGTCTCCATATCAGTTGTTGTTTAACAAGCCTCCTGATCTCTCCAATTTGAAGGTTTTTGGCTGTCTTTGTTATGCTTCTACCTTAGTTCATGGTAGAACAAAGTTCCAACCTCGAGCTTCCCAATGTGTTTTCCTTGGCTTTCCTACTGGTGTCAAGGGTTATACACTATTTCACCTTACTGAACAAAAGGTTTTCATTTCTCGGAATGTTATTTTTCATGAAACTATTCTTCCATTTCATTCTTCTACTTCTTCTCCTCCTCCTACTTCCTCTCACTCTACTCCTGTCCTCACTCCCCCATCTTCATTTGCACCATCCAGCATACCATTTTCCCCACCTCATACTTCTAACATTGAGGGATCAGAGGGGGCCAGTACCTCCAGTACCACTTCTCCCTCAATCCATATACCTTCTCCCATACCTTCTGGTTCTGGTTCTCATACACCTACATCTTCCCCTTTCCCATCCAGTTCTCACCAGTCACATTCACCCATTCCTGCTGTTGATAAACCTGTTCATCTGGAGGATTTTGATGATAATACTGATGATGGTCCTGAGCTAGAAGTTCAAGAGGAGTTTGAAGGCAGACCTATTCGTGTTAATCGAGGCAAAATGCCTGTCAAGTTTAATGATTATCAGGTTGGTAGTGTCAGCAAATATCCTATGGAAGACTACTTGGAACTTGACCAGTTATCTCCAGCTGACAGGAGTTATATTTTGAATGTCATGAATGAAGTTGAACCACGCACTTACCAAGAAGCAGCAGCTAGTGAACACTGGAATAGAGCAATGAATGAGGAAACTCAAGCTCTGGAAGAGAACCACACCTGGGATGTTGTTGTCTTACCTGAAGGGAAAAGAGCAATAGGGAACAAGTGGGTATTCAAAATTAAAAGGAGACCAGATGGCAGCATTGAGAGATTTAAGGCAAGATTGGTGGCAAAAGGCTTTACACAGGTATATGGTATAGACTTTCTGGATACCTACTCACCTGTAGCTAAAATTAATACTGTAAAGGCTTTACTTGCTGTTGCTGCTAACAAAGGTTGGGTATTGGATCAAATGGATGTCTCCAATGCATTTTTGCATGGAGATCTAGAAGAAGAAGTTTATATGGTGTTGCCACCAGGTGATCCAAGGGCTAAAGGTCCTGAGAAGCTTGTATGCAGGTTAAGGAAGTCCTTGTATGGACTCAAACAGGCTAGCAGACAGTGGTTTGCAAAGTTAACTTCATCACTGCTGCAACATGGTTTCTCTCAGTCTGCTTCAGACTACTCCATGTTCACAAAATGGGTTCAAGGACGTTTTGTGGTATTGCTGGTGTATGTTGATGATATAATAGTGGGAGGAGACAGCAGAGATGATGTGGAAGAGGTAAAGAAGTATCTTAGCAGGAGCTTCAAGATAAAGGATCTAGGGAAGCTGAAGTATTTCCTAGGTCTTGAGATTGCTAGAGACAGTAATGGGATCACAGTAAACCAAAGGAAGTATTGCCTGGAACTTCTGAAGGACACTGGATATGAAGATGCTAAGCCATGTGTTTCTCCACTGGATCCAAAAGTCTCTTTGAAAGCAAAACAGGGAGTTCCACTTGAAGACCCTGAGCAATACAGAAGGTTGGTTGGAAGGTTGCATTATTTAACCACAACTAGACCTGATCTGACTTTTCCTATGCAGCAATTAAGTCAATTTCAGAAGGAACCTTATTCAGATCACTTGCAAGCAGCTTTCAGAGTTCTTAGGTACATAAAGGGGTCACCAAATCAAGGACTTTGTTTCAAATCTGATTCCACTCTGAGGTTGTCAGGTTATAGCGACTCAGATTGGGCTAGCTGTCCAGACTCAAGGAGATCAGTTAGTGGTTATTGCACTTTCCTTGGGAGTTCACTGGTTACTTGGAAAGCTAAGAAACAGACCACTGTTTCACGATCATCCTCAGAGGCTGAATACAGAGCTTTAGCTCAATTGGTGTGTGAATTACAGTGGATGAAAGGATTGCTTGCAGAGTTGAGTGTGAAGGTTCAATTGTCAATTGCTGTGTTTTGTGACAACAGATCAGCGATACACATAGCTGATAATCCAGTGTTTCACGAAAGAACGAAACACATTGAGATTGATATCCATGTGACGCGTGAAAGAGTGAAATCTGGGTTAATCAAGCTGTTCTATGTTCGTACTGTTGATCAAGTTGCAGACCTATTTACTAAAGCTTTGAGCAGATACAGGATTCGAGAATTACTAGACAAGCTTGGAGTTAGCACACTCCAGCTTGAGGGAGGCTGTCAAGATGATAAGGAAGATGGAGCAGAGGTCCATGAAGACAAGGCAGCTGATGCAGAGCTGGAATGGACACATCGAGCTTCAGCTTGAAGAAGACAGTGAAACGCGTTCAGGCTTGAAGACGATTCGTTGTATGGGAAACGTTTCGAGCCTTCGCCTGAACGCGTCGTCGTTTTAGAGTTAGTGGAGTCTGTTTTATCCTTCCCGTTTTATTACTCACCACATGTCAAGGTGAATTCATAATTCCGTTTATTTTACCGTTGGCAAACAGTAAATCTTGAACACTGAGTATAAATGGAAGGAACCCTGCAGCTCGTTGTTTTCTGCGGGTTTTCGATTAAGCCTTTGCCCCTCTAGATATTTCTACAATATCGACCAACGTAGCCCCAGTACTCAAGTCGCACTTGTTCCAGATCGTTGACGTACTGATTTGCTGCTTCACGCCGTACTTGGCCCATCCAAAGTAGTCGTTGACCCGCAGCCGCGTTACGGATGGGCTGACAGGTAACAGATCCCGTTCCTGTTAGCTAGTAGACAGTACTTATGACCGTCTGATGCAGTGAGGGTCAAGTCGTTGCACAGTTGGGTCAATTGGTCGCCCTCGATTACGACCCCATGAACTTCAAGAGCTCTGAATTGTGCGTCATCGGAGGGCCCGATTTTTATCCGGCTGCTACCGCGCCAGCGGCCGCTCTCCTTGTATAGGATAAGGTCGGGGTCGTATATGTCGCCGGTGTAGTGGATCACATAAACGTCGACGGACGAAGCAGGGGGACATGTACGGACGAAGTACCCGTCCGATGACATGTGGAAAACATCCATTCTCGATCGGTACGTGTTCAGCGGATGGATGGGGGAAGCGAAGCGATATGAATATAATGAATGGGTTGGAGTTGCTGAAGATCTATTAATTATTTAATTTATATATGCATGCGCCCAATTGATCCAAACACAAGAATTTCCAAGAGATAAATGATATATATCAGTACTTAGGGGTCGTTTGCTTTAAGGATTTGGTACATGGATTTGGTATCAAAAAACCAACTATCAAGGATTTAGGTACAATCCGTTGTTTGCTTGCATCTTTTTTGGAGACCAAATCCGTGGGGCCCATGGATTTTAAGGGTCCAAATCCGTGGACCCCACGGACTTATAAATCCCACATGTTGATGTGGGATTTGGAATATGACATAAATCCTTGATGAGATTTTACCCATATACCCTCATGCACTTTTAATATTCCAAGGTTGCCCTTAAATTTAACTATTATACATTATAATTAACAATAAATGAATAATATAAACGTTCAATTAATGTGCAAACATGAGTTAGATTTTTTATATCATTTCTTGTGTTCTAGTTTTCTTTGACCTTTTCATGGAACGTGTAATTCTTTGTTCTCCCGATTCTATATATGTCCATGTGGCAACATTATGCTTATTAGTATGTATTGTCCTTGTTTTGTGTACATATCATAAACATGTCAAACATATAGAAAATGATAGTAAGGTAATTTTGAAGTTTTGTCCGTGTTTTGTGTACATATCATAAACATGTCAAACATATAGAAAAGGGCAGTAATGTAATTTTTGACTTCAAGTAGTAAATCTCACACCTTTAAATCCATGATAAAAACATCCCAACAAACAAAGGATTGTTACAAATCCATGATGCCTCAAATCCTTGATAAATCCTTAGGTTTTTAAATTACAAAACCCTCATTTTTAAATCCATTAAGCAAACGACCCCTTAGTTAGTGGAGCGAATGAAACAAGATGGTCACGGGGAACGAGGAGCCATGCATGCATGAATGTCTCTTCGTAAATCCCATGTTTTTCTTCATTCCAAATAATCAATAATCACTTTCCTTCTTCATTATTACAAGGCTTGACCTCCTATTGAAGTAAGGTATAGCCTTGAAACCAAGGAGTTGATTATTTGCCGTCTCCACCTCCACTCCATCTCTTTCTTGCATGTTGCCTGTAGTTGATCAAACAAGTCATCTATCCTGCCTCCTGGGCAGTGTCTCGTATTGTTGCCGCGGACCAATGCAAGCTAGGGGCGTCCCAATGATCACAATAGTAGTAGCATGTTTTCCGGAGAGACTTGAAATCATTCAAGTCACCCTTGTACCTGACCACTTGAATTCTTACACCAGCTGTTGTAATGAAAATAGGGCTCTTTGCAACCAACCTCACCGTTGGTAAAAGTCTTTTTTTTGTTGTAGTTGCGGTGTACGCTAGTTTGGTGGACCCTCATTATGTATGGTCTCATGATTTGAGATATGTATTTATTTTTGTGGATCAAGGAAGATTCGCGTTTGTCTTGCAAAATCAAAGGTTGATCTGTATCTGGTAAATCATTGTGTCGAGCAAAGTAACCGATGCAAGGTATCTGTTGATTAAGATAATCAATGAGGTGAGGAAAAAATTGGTAGTCTTTGTCTTGAGGGAAAAGGGTTATTATAAGATAATCCAAATACCACATCAACCGTACAAGGGAACGTATCTTGTAATTGTGTCCACCTAACTCATAAGTATGATGTTTTTGAGAATGACACACAAAAGTAAATCCGTGCGGTGTTGGATCAAAGCGGACAATATCGTACTAATAGAACAATCCGGTTTCGACAGGCAAACACAATGATTATTTAGTTCATCATTATCATTATTCTTTGATTCTTAATGATAACTTTGCTTCATGGGGTTTTGTTGCTTAATTATGTCAAATACGCCATTTGCATGGGTTTATTATACCAAGAGAGGGGAGATATATAGTAGTAATATTAAGATCGATACAAGCATGTGTAGTTATTTATACACATAATTAATGATATCTCGTGGCCGCTTGACCGTCCACTCTTTATTGAAACAAACAAACCAAATCTCATAAAGAAGACAATACCTTAAAATAACCATGCACACAGAACACTAGCAACTCATAATATGATGATCTCAAACCTCGTAAATCAAGGCTTGCATGGCATCCATGAGCTTCACCAGCTGCTTGTCCTTCTCTTGCACGGATTTCTCCCACATGGCCAACTGCCTGTCCTTCTCTTGCACGGACTTCTCCCACAGAGATTCCACTTCCTCGTTCCTCTCCATTAGCATAGCCAGCTGGTTGTCCTTCTCTTCCACGGATCTCTCCCACAGAGTCTCCACTTCCTTGCTCCTCTCCACCAGCTTCCTCATGACAACCACTTCCTTCTCCTTCGCCTCCAGCTCCTTGCTCTTCTCCTCCACCGTCTCCTTCTCCTTGTTCTTCAACAGCTGCCCTACATCCACCAACGTGGCACCACTGCTCAAGTCGCACTTGGTCCAGATCGTCGACGTGCTGATTGGAGGTTTGACGCCGTACTTGGCCCACCCGAAGTAGTCGTTGACCCGCAGCCGCATGACGGACGGGCTGTTGACGAGGAGGTAACAGATGCCGCTCCTGTTAGCTGTGAGACAGAACTTTTGGCCGTCCGGCGCAGTGAGTGTGAGGTCGTTCCATAGTTGGGTCAATTGGTTGCCCTCGATGACGACTCCGTGAACCTCGAGAGCTTTGAATTGTGCGTCAGCGGAGGGCCCGATTTTTATCCGGTTATTGCCCCAGCGGCCGTTGTCCTTGTATCGGATAAGGTCGGGGTCGTATATGTCGCCGGTGTAGTCGTGCACGTAAACGTCGACGGACGAAGAAGCTGTTGACAGAAGCGCGCTGAAGTCGGAGATTCAATTTGCCGCTGACCGTTGAGCGATCAGAGTACTCAGAAATGGAAAGATCAAAGAGCACCTTCCTTCCCTGGATTGCAACGGCTAGTCCCTGTGTCTATAAATTGAGTCGATGTGGTCATTGTAAAGGCACTTAGACATATAGTGGTACAGGTCTATTGGAAGGTCTAAGGGTTTTGGCAACTGGTGGTATAGGAATCAGTTGCTGGTGGGTTTCGAATCTGGGATTGGATTCGGGTCTTCTTGTTCAGTTTGTGTCTTGTAATTTCGTTATTCTTTTGATAGGAAAAACTTCAATAAAAAGAGAGTCTCTCGGAGTATAGCAGGTGCTATCTCCGGGACGAGGACGTACCCGTAGATTGGGGAACCTCGTTAAAATCCTTGTGTTCCTCGTCTACTCTTGTTTTACCTTTGCGTGCTTCAGCTTACCTTACTCTGTTCTCTGCAAATCTCTGTCGCTAAGGACTCTGTCCTAAGAGGAAGAAGAGATCAGCTTAACAGACTAAGGCTTTGGTGGGCTCATCTGATATCTAGCCCAAATCTTTTATGTTTAATTTGATTTCCTTCTCGGTAGACCTTCTTCCCATGCGTGGTGGGCTTTGATCATATAGGCCCATTACGAAGAAGAAGACTCTTTCCTCTTGCTTGTCCGCTGCTGTGTCTTTCCCATTTCCCTTTCCTTTCTCACCAGAGCAGAACGCCAAATCCCTAAATTCCCCGATCAATTTTCTGATCTCAAGTGGTATCAGAGACAGTCCTTGACGAGGCTCATCGCTGCCAAGGAGAAGATCCATGGCTACTTCTTCATTCGGCCAGGCCACCATAAATCACCCTCCCATTTTTACCGGTGCAAATTACACAGCATGGAAAAAACGCATGAAGCAGTTCATGTGGGGCATCGACGAAGAGCTGTGGCTCATCGTTCAAAATGGGCCGATCCCAATGGTCGCTGAAGAACAGGAACTCTGGTCGGCGGCACAAAAGAAAAGCGCCCAGTTGAACCAACGCGCGATGCATGTTTTGCAGTCTGCGATGACTCCCGATGAGGCTGATCAGGTGGAAGACTGTGAGACTGCTCAGCAAATCTGGATTGCTCTGCAGCACACCTATGAAGGTACATCCAACATTCGTGAGTCTCGTATTGATCTTTTGGTTCATGAGTATGAGGCTTTTAATATGTTAGCTGACGAATCCATTCATGATATGTACTCCCGCTTCACTATTTTGATTAACAAAATGAAGGGTTTAGGCCGTACTTTTCTGGTTAAAGACCTAAATAGAAAGATTCTTAGGTCTCTTCCTAAAGAGTGGCTGCCTAAGCGCACTGCTATTGAGGAAGCGCGAAATCTGGCTACTCTACCTATCAACGAGTTAGTCGGATCTCTGCTCAGTCATGAAAATGTTATAAAACAAGTGAATTTGGAAGATGAGAAACGCAAGAAAAATCTCGCATTTAAATCTAGGGCTGTCCTTTATGATTCAGGCAGTGAGTCCGAAACTGATTTTGATAGAGAGTTCGCCTTAGTTAGCAAGCGGTTTCATCGCATGATGAAATATAAGAATGATCGTCAAGCTAAGTCTGACGGTTCGAGGCAATCTCATTTTGATCGCACTAAACATGGTTCTCGAGAAAGGCTGCTTCCCCAGCAGACCAGATATGTGGATGCAGGTTACCCTGAGAAAGAACCCCAAGCCTGCTATAAATGTGGGAAGCACGGTCACATACGGGCGCATTGTCCGTTAACTATCAAGGCGAAAGAGAAGGCCTTAAAAGCTTCTTGGAGTGACTATGACTCTCAGTCCGAGTCTGAGCAAATTGATGAACAGGCATTTATGGCATTTACTTCACCAGTTGGTAAGGTTCAGGTATCGTCTTCTAAACCTATGTCTAACTCAAATTCTGACCATGTTTGGTATCTGGACAGTGGGTGTTCCCACCATATGTCCGGTAAACGTCAACTCTTTTCACATCTCACCACTAAAAAGGGTGGAAATGTGCTGTTTGGAGACAATGGTGTGGGTAAGATAATTGGATCAGGTACTATAGGTGCTCCTCCATTACCCACTATTCGTGATGTTCTTCTTGTTGATGGTCTGCATCATAATCTCCTGTCTATAAGTCAGTTATGTGAGAATGGAAATCGAGTTCTTTTTGAATCCACTCACTGCATTGTTGAACGTATTTACGACAAACAAGTTGTGTTTGTTGGAAATCGAATCAACAACATGTACACCATTGACTTGCATAATCTAGATGAATTTAATGAGTTATGTTTAACTGCCTCTTCACAGCAAGAAATCCTTTGGCATAGAAAGATGGGGCACCTTAGCTTTCAAAAGCTAGTTCATCTCTCTAAAACCAATCTGGTTCGTGGGCTACCGCCTTTAAAAGATAAGCGTGATTTCTTCTGTGATGCTTGTGTCTCCGGTAAACATAAGAAACGTAGTTTTACACCCAAATCTGACATCACTACTAAAGCTATGTTTGAGCTTATCCACATGGATCTGTTCGGACCATGCAATGTCACTAGTTTGGGGGGTAAGAATTATGTTTTTGTCTTGGTAGACGATTTTTCTAGGTATACTTGGGTCTACTTTCTCACTCATAAAGATGATACTGTTCATAGCTTCAGAACTTTTGTCACTTTATTTGCTGGAAAAATCAGAACCATTCGCAGTGATAATGGTGGGGAATTCATATCTGATGAATTTGAAACCATTTGCAACGAGGCTGGGATTCTTCACACATTTTCTGCCCCTCGCACTCCTCAACAAAATGGGGTAGTAGAGAGGAAGAATCGAACGTTAATTGAGTGTGCTCGCACTATGCTCCTAGAGTACAACCTGCCTAAGAACTTTTGGGGTGAGGCTGTCAATACAGCGTGTCATGTATTGAATCGAGTTCTTGTCCGTAAGGGTCTAAATATGACTCCTTACGAAGTCTTCAAGTCCAAAACACCTAATATCTCGTATTTTCATCCGTTTGGAAGCTGCTGCTATGTTTTAAACACGAGAGATAGGTTGGGGAAATTTGATTCGAAATCTGATAGAGCTATTTTTCTTGGTTACTCGGTCAAGGGCCAAGCATATCGTGTTTATAACAAACGCACTAAAAAGGTTGAAGAATCGGTCCATGTAATCTTTCATGACACTGATCTTCCTGAAAGTGCTACAACTGACAGTGTTCCTGTGTTTGATTTGCTTGAGTTGACTAACAGATCCGAGCTGCAGAAGGATTCTTCCGATCAGTCAACTTCTACACCTCCACCCTTGTCAATCTCATCGCCTCCTGACACTAGCACATCTGATGATATCCCTCCGATTGCAAATACACCAGCTGCCCCTCTCCACATTCAGCGACGTCATCCTGTAAATCAAGTCATTGGTGAGCTGAATGACGGGTTACGCACTAGAGGTAGGTACAAGCCAGGTCAGTACGCATTCCTTTCTCAGCATGAGCCTAAGAATTATAAAGAGGCATTAAAGGATGAATACTGGAATCTTGCTATGCATGAGGAAATGAATCAATTTGAGTATTTACATGTCTGGGATTTAGTGCCTCGTCCTTTGAATCAATCGATTATTGGTACCAAATGGATTTTCAGAAACAAATCCGATGAGGATGGGTTCATTACGAGAAATAAGGCTCGTCTAGTCGCCCAAGGGTACTCCCAAGAAGAAGGGGTTGACTATGACGAGACTTTTGCACCAGTTGCTCGTATTGAGTCCATCCGTTTGTTATGTGCTTTTGCCAGTTTTATGAATTTTCCTCTCTTTCAAATGGATGTCAAGAGTGCGTTTTTAAACGGTGTGATTCAGGAGGAAGTATACGTTTCACAACCACCGGGTTTTGTTGATCCAAATTTTCCTGACCATGTTTACAAGCTAAGAAAAGCGCTTTATGGACTTAAACAAGCTCCACGAGCTTGGTATGAGCGTCTTACCTCCTTTTTATGTGAACAAGGTTTCTCTCAAGGATCCGTAGATAAAACCCTTTTTATTAAACATGATTCGTCTGATCTTCTCCTAGTTCAAATTTATGTAGACGACATTGTGTTTGGGGCTACTAATTCTAAGATGTGTTCTGACTTTTGTGAAGCCATGAAAGAAGTGTTTGAAATGAGTATGATGGGAGAACTTCAGTTCTTCCTTGGTCTCCAAATCAAACAGACTAGTCATGGAACTTTCATTAATCAGTCTAAGTACATATCAAGTATGCTGAGTAAATTTAACTTTCAATCCTTGAATACTGCTCCCACACCTATGGCTGTTAATTTAAAGCTAGACAAGGACGAGACTGGTATTCCAGTTGATGAATCCATGTACCGTGGAATGATAGGCTCTCTCTTGTACCTCACTGCTAGTCGGCCAGACATCCAGTTTAGTGTATGTCTCTGTGCCCGCTTTCAATCGTGTCCCAAAGAGAGTCACCTATCAGCAGTAAAAAGAATTTTTCGTTATTTAAAAGGCACATCAGATGTCGGGTTATGGTACCCAAAACAGTCAACCTTCGATCTAGTGGGCTATAGCGACTCTGACTTTGCTGGTAGCTTAACAGATCGTCGAAGCACCACTGGCAGTTGTCAATTCGTGGGTACCTCCCTAGTGTCTTGGTCGTGCAAAAAGCAGGGGGCAGTTGCGTTATCTACTGCCGAAGCAGAATATATTGCTGCTGGTAGCACTTGCACTCAATTGCTCTGGCTGTCTTATCAATTATTAGATTATGGTTATAATTGCTCTTCCATACCCTTATTTTGCGATAATACGAGTGCCATCTGCATGTCTAAGAACCCGGTTCAGCACTCTCGAACCAAGCATATTGAGATTAAGTTTCATTTTATTCGTGACTTGGTTCAATCTGGCGCTATCTCGCTCCAGTATATCAGCACTGAATTTCAGCTTGCTGATTTATTCACTAAGCCTCTATCCTCTGATCGATTTACTTTCCTATGTTACGACATAGGATTGCGTTCATTGTC